CGCGATTTTGCCGTATTTTTGATGCGTTCCGGGCCGCTTTTGGTAAAAAATAAAACAATTCAGTTTAAAATTGGCTTTCAGTGCGTTCCAGGGCTTTTGCATGCATTTTTGATGCGTTTGCATGCGTTCCAGAGCAGGTCAAGTAGGGCTTGATGCAGTTTTTTTACATGCTCTGGAACTGAACGCTGCGGTGTGAACTAGAGCCCAAAATACCATTGGAATAAATTGGGCGCAGTTATGATCCGGTCTGTAACTGCTCTGCTCTGCTCCTGGAACGGGCTTGGTGTGAACAAGGCCTTAGATGTTATAGTTGGTCCTAACATAGGACAGGAAGGGCATTCGTTTGGTGCATATTTTGATATTTATAGCAAATATATTTATATATATTTTAGTTTATGGAAAGAAATGTGGCGACTTTTTTCTTAAACAACTTTTACATAATGTACCCTAAAACATAATCAGCAAAGCCTTCTGACAAAAGGGATTTGTGATTTCTTTTTGCCCCTATTCACGTAAAAAAAGGAACCTGTTTGTGTACATTTTTAGTAACATCAAAACAACAAGTCGGGGTTTACATGTACACATATCAGTATGATAAGAACATTTGCCACAGAGAGTGCCTTTGCTTTCTGGTGAGGCATTCCCCAGCACGCCAAAGCCCGGCCCATATCCCGCCAAAGCCCAGCCCATATCCCGCCAAAGCCCTGCCCCATCCCGACGAAGCCCCGGCTAGTGTGAAGGAGGGAGGAGACAGGGAGGAGCCTCCCTGTCCCTCACTTGCTCGTCACTGCTGAGGCATTGAGATCGATGGCCTCATTGCTTTTTTTTTTCTTTTTGATTGGACAGCTTGAAGCATTGGACAGCATTGGTCCAAACCATCCACAGAGTTCACGCCTCTATCACAGAGTAGAGGCTGTGGCAGCTCTTGCCTCACTAAGTTAGGTTACACAAGCATTGGGGAAGAAAGCTGCTGTGTAACCTAACTATCTGTCAAAAGCCGGATGCAGCACTGCCTGTAAATAACAGGCAGCGCTTCGTCCATGACAGGTTACACAGAGGGGAGGATTTCTCTGATATGTAACCTGATAGAAGCCGATCTGAATGGAGAAAAAGCTGTCATCTTCAGACTTAAAGCTGACAGCTTTTTCCTCCATAATACTAGGTGAGGCTCTGCCTCCCCTGACCGCACGTCCCTGATGTATATGTGAGTTGTTTGATGATCATGCAGTGAACACATATGCCATTCAGATCATCCAATGTCTTTGGGTGGTTTATAAAATGAACATTTTCATCTATCTATCTATCTATCTATCTATCTATCTATCTATCTTTAATGGTTCTGAATTTGGTCAGAGAAGACCTGATTCAGCTCCTCCCCTATCCCATACACCTCAGAGGTAATACATCACTTGTAATGCTGATCTGTTGCTGACAATTGGCAGCAAGTAGTAGATCACTATTGCATTGTTCCGCTGCTGCGTCGGGGGGGAGGGCTGAGCTAGATCAGCTCTGCCCCGGCTAAACATGGATTCTGGTCTCACAGAAAGGGCTATTCACTAAGCTGCCGAAGGCAGCAGAGTGAATAAATGGTCCGAAGTGAAGGGAGCTGAACGCCGTTTGGCCATTCTTTTGAGCCGTGTACGAAGTGAAGAACACGTTCGCCTCAGCCGATCCAACTATTCTCATAGGGGCTGAACAGCGGTGAGTGAATAGCACAAGCGAAGCAGCATTTGGATTGGTTAATCTGCTCGCTACTTCTGTCATGGCTGGCTCCGCCCATTTGTTGTCATGCAATGACAGGCCACTGTCCTCAGGTCATTTGAGGACAGTGGCCTGTCATTGCATGACAACAAATGGGTGGAACCATTTGTTGTAATTCAATCATCTGTCAAAATTTCATTCTGCGGCGAGAGTTCGTCATGTAAGGTCGGGTCTGCAGCCGTTGGGTTTTTCTTATTTCAATGAATCAACGCAGTGGTGAACATTGCTGATTGACGTGATTGACCCTGGATTTCCCCGTTGGATCAATTTTTTTTCATTGTTTTGGGGTTTTTTTAATTAAAGGAATAGTCAAAAACTTTTGTGATTTTTTTTTTTTTTTTATTTTTTTTTTTGCAATTAAAGTATTGTTCTAAAAGTCTGGTCTTTATTTACATTTTGATTTAACCCTTTAGTAAATTTGTAGGGGTAAAAGTACCCTTTACTCAAGGGGGGACAGCATGTGGATGCCATCTTTATGAAAGGGGCTACCCCGGTGCAAATAAACCCTCCTGCCCGCAGACCCCCACAACCACTGGGTCAGGTTTGTGGGAAAAAGGCCCTTGTCCCCATCAGCATGGGGGACAAGGTGCTTTTCTAGGTGGAAATGTGGCCTGGTATGGCAGAGAGGGGGATGCATTCTCGTCCCCCCTGTTTCTCGCCCTGCTGGGCCAGTGCTGATTAAGGGTCTGGTTTAGAATTTTAGGGGACCCCACATTTTTTTCCCCTTTGTATGGTTTGGAAGGGGGACCCCGTGCTGTTTTTTCTTTTTACTATTTGTTTACATTTTGCGGGGAGAGCGGTCTGCTTCGTTTTCTCATTGTACTGTGAATAGACACCAATCCAGAGGAGAGGTTCTCCATGTGTCTGCTCGTCATCCTGACTAACCCCTGGTTCCCCACACTCCAATGCCTAAAACGTCTTATGATTCTGTAGTGCTACACAGTAAAAGCCTGATTGGTTCACCCACAACCCATAGGGTAACCCTCATTTCTGGGAAGTTATTGTATAGGATTATGGAAGGTTTATTTAATAATACATTCTCAGAAATAACTTGCACTTTGGGATAAAGACACTTAGATCAGAATTTATAAGAATCAATTGTAACTGCTTCAGAGTGGGGTTATGCTTAAGGAATATTGCATTTTTTTACGGTATGCCAATGCCATCTAGTGGCTGTTTCTTTATGCAGTAATGGGTAAAAATGCAGAATTTCATAAATGCATTGAAACCAGACTAAGGGGCCAACTTCTAAAGCAACAGTATGGCTTTTTCATGGCCGTACTATTGCTTAAACCCCCCACCCCCAACAAATTAGCACATTTATAAAACACAACGGTGTGCTTTACAAAGGTACTAGCCCTTTACTTTCTTCAGGACTTCTAAATAAGTTGAGCCCCATTTATTTTCATTATTTGGAGGACTATGTCCGGTCAAATGACCTGTCAAAGTCATGTGAATGGCATCTCTTATGACAGTGTTTTTTTCAGTGCTATGCAGAAAACACTCTGTAGCACAAGCTCTACATCATTTTGTGTTACTCGTACAATACAGCCGTACAGAAGCTACTTGTATATAGTAGTATTTGGATTTGCTTGTTGATCTCACCCATGACCCCTAACTTAGCTACTACATCAGCTTTTTTCACGTGTTTTTTTAAAAAAATCTATGATTTCAGATTTTCAGAATCCTCGCCGACTCCAATGGCACTTGCAGTATCCCTACCTGGACTCCTAATAGTACTTGCAGAATTCCTGCCTGGACTCCTAATGGTACTTGCAGAATCCCTGCCTGGACTTTCAGAGTTCCCATAAATTATGTTGGGTATGTCTTCTGACCAAAGAGATATTTAAAGGAGAATAATGAGGTGTGTGCCTCATAATCTGAGCCGACCTGTGACAATGAAACCGAGCCGTGACTGGATTCCCCCCTCCCCTGTCCGATCCTCCAGCGCTGATTGGCGGAACGGACGGGGGGGGGGGCGGGTACAGCTCGCGCTGCCCCTAGACAG